ATGCTGAGTTCATCAGTTTGCGTGAATTAACGATTTAAATCGCTGCATTTCAATTTTCATTCACACAAACATTTTTCCTCCCATTAAAAAATAATAAAACTCGTTTCATTAATAATGCAGTCGAACCTCGATAACTCAAGCTTTTGAAGAAGATTTAAGATTTTTTAATTATAGTGAAGATTGAGAAATCTTCATGTGAATGTTCACCAATATGGGACTTTCTACTACTATTATAATAATTTTGCGAATTTTTAAAAATCATACATGTTATTAACCCCTTGCTCTATGACTTACTTGTCAGGTGCGTCAGTCAGAACTAAATAATTATAGCTACAATATTAAATTAGACAAAAAACTTTGAACTGTTAGGTCAATACGTTATAATGCAATCTTTGACTATGCAAATTATAATTGGACTTGAACTCCAAATTGAAGCGTATTAAAAATTCGAGTGAAATTGATCACGGCCGAAGTACGAGTGCATCACGAGGCAGACTCGTCAAAATAGTGCAAAGGGTTAATCATAAGTGAATTATTAGTAAATTATTTGTAAGTTATTAGTATAAGTACATTCATAGAGTGCTTTAATATAGTATATTTCACTAGTATGTTCTCACTATATTATATTATATGTATCTTTCATCAATACGAAATATTTCACTACAATTGCATTTTATCTTCTACAATAACACACTAACTCACAATGAGCCACTACTAAATCCTTTTAGAGGTCACTAAAAAGAGTAACCTTAATGTCAGGACGAAGGTCATTAAAAATACCCTAAACATCATAGTTACCATAATATGTACTCACTACCAGAAAAAATAAAATTGATCAACAGTACTGCGTTAATTTATTGAAACTCACTATTACCTATAACACTTACTTTATTATAACTTTAGTTAGTTATCACAATTAATAACTGTATCAATAAAAAATTCAGTAAAAATTTTCAAACACAAACTTTATACGTATCTTGTTGGATTAAATCCATACAGTGTTCCTTGAGAAATTAACGTAAAGTACTTACTCCGTCATAACCGCAATTAATTTTGCTAGCAGCATTGAAGTAATATTTCCACCGAGCGGTAGAGATTACTTTACAAGAAATGGACATCTTTTGAGCGCAATCTGCGATACAAGTGCAAAGTAAATATCGTCGTTACAACTCAAAGAATATTATTTGTAGACGAGAACGTTCAAGGCTTACCTGGCTACCTGTTGCATATTTGTAAGCATATTTCAGAGGCGTCTTGTTTAAACAGTTCTTGGAATACTTGACGAACTTCCGTTTTCCTTTCTTCTGGCCCTTTTCCTCCGATTCTGAGAATAACATGATTAACTGACTGAGGCTGTTTGCATTCTATCACACATGACTGATTTTCATACACAATAATGAACCTGATCTATTGAAACGATGAAACGAAAGCAGGAAAAGGGAATGGGGTTTGGAACCAGTGAGAGATTCGAATTTGGATTTCTGATTGTAAACAGCAGTAGGTCATTTGCGTTTGTGTCGAGATTAGGGAACGTAATAGCGCTGATTGATGAGTTACGGATAAATTGGAAACTATGTAAATTATGTATTATGGCTTTTGAGTAAGGGTTTATATTGTTCGGGGTCTTTGATAGGAACTAAGGTCTATTTCGTTCTTACAATGTATGGATTGGGATATTGCATGTAGCGTGAAAGATGTAGGATGTGGGATATATTGTATACATATATGTATGTACATTGTATTATAACTTGGAAACTTTCAAGGTTACAAATTTTCAAATCTTCAAATTTTTTTCAACCACTTTTTTTTATCAACCACTGTTTGGGTTATTAGCGACAAATCTTCAAATTATTGAATTTTTGTATTTGCAAATTTACGAGTGTCTAAATTACTAAATTCCCAATTCCCATATTTCCAAATCTCCTATCCCCAAATTCTCAAATCCCCAATTTTCAAATTTTCAAATCCCCTATCCCCAAATTCTCAAATCCCCAATTGGCAATTTTCAAATCTCCTATTCCCAAATTCTCAAATCCCCAATTCCCAAATTTCCGAATCTTCTATTCTCAAATTCTTAAGTCCTAAATTTCCAAATCTCCTATCCCCAAATTCTCAAATCCCCAATTTTCAAATTTCCAAATCTCCTATCCCCAATTTCTCAAATCCCCAATTGGCAATTTCCAAATCTCCTATTCCCAAGTTCTCAAATCCCCAATTCCCAAATTTCCAAATCTTCTATTCTCAAATTCTCAAATTCTTAAGTCCTAAATTTCCAAATCTTCTATTCTCAAATTCTCAAATCCCCAATTTTCAAATTTCAAAATCTCCTATCCCCAGATTCTCAAATCTCCAATTTGCAATTTCCAAATCTCCTATTCCCAAATTCTCAAATCCCCAATTCCCAAATTTCCAAATTTACAACCCTTAAATTCTCAAATTCTTAAATCCCAAGTATCCAAATCTACCACCCCTAAATTCTCAAATTTTTAAATTCTTAAATTCTTAAATTCCGTGTTCATAAATTTCTTAATCTCAAATTTCCAAATTCCAAATTTCTAAATCCTAATTATAACAAATATAATATAATAATATAACAATAGCAAGTATATCAATATATATTTTCAAATAGATGATAAGTATACTAGATACATATTCTGGTAATAAGAAGTTAATTAATTTAACATATGACAAAGTTACAAAAGACCTTAATTTATTGTGGAGCAATTTAGAAAGTAAAATGCATTTTAGAAGCTTTATTTTTACATGCATTTTAGGATTTATTATTTCATGCGCCTAGACTGCAAAATGTACAGCTGGTGCTATCTAACGTTCGAGCGCCGAACTAACGAAGTAGAAAATTACGTTTTGTCGATAAATAAAGAAATTTCACATTTTATTGATACTCTGAAAAAATTATTTAGACTGAAAAACACTAGAACATGGCTTTTGCATTGAGTTTGAACTGTCATATTCGACAATTTTTTTAAAATTAATTTTTTTTTATTTACAACACTTTGTGCTTTATCATCTAATGATAAGAAATAGGAACTGATGATGATGATGATGATTAATGTTATGGGCATCGACTGCCATGGTCATTAGCCCAAAATAGGAACTGTCTGAATAAAAAAATGAATATTTCGGCACACTGACGACAAAGTATGGTTCCTGAGGCATTTAGAAACAAATTTCTATTAGGGTTCGATGCGTTTTGATGCCTAATAACGCCAGAAAATCAATTTTTGTCGAATTCGGTCCAAAATGGTACAGGTGGCGCCATCTAGCGGCGAGTGGCAGAACTACGAAAAACTAAAATTTCGATTTTCTCCGAAATTAGGCAATTTTACGTATTTTTGAGGGTCAGAAATTGTTCCATGACCTCTCTAGAACCTATATATTGCCACGAGAACCTCCTCAGAGCGCTGGAAAAGAAAATAAAAAAATAGGTCAAAACATGGACTAAAAAATTGGCGTCCATCTAGCGGTGAAAGTTGGAACTACAAAAATATAAAATTTAGATTTTCTCGAAAATTAGCGAACTTTGAGTACTTCTCAGGCTCAGAAAGTGTTATGTGATCGCACTAGAAGCTTTCTAATGCAATAAAAGCTTCCTACAAAGGAGCAAAATAATGCAATAAAAGCTTCGTAAAGGCTGTAATAAAGAAAGTAAAAAATATGTCATTTTATGGGAAAAAATTTGTGGCGCCATCTAGCGGTGAAACTGCGAACTAAACTGAAAAACCGTATGTCCGAACACGGGTTAAAAGGTCAAATAAAAATTGATTTTCTGGGCTTAATAGGCAAAAAAATGAATAACTTATTCAACAAATATTTCTTTAAAATGTCTAAAGAAGCATACTACGTCGTCAAAGTTGCGAAAGATTACTTTTTATATTTTTCCTTAACACGTGTACGGGCATATGTTTTTTCAGTTTAGTTCGCAGTTTCGCCGCTAGATGGTGCCACAAATTTTCTCCATAAAATGACATTTTTTTTATTTTCTTTATTAAAGCCTTTAGGAAGCTCTCATTGCATTATTTTGATCCTAATGCGATCACATAACACTTTCTGAGCCTGAGAAGTACTGAAAATTCGCTAGTTTTCGAGAAAATCGGAATTTTAATTTTTTATAGTTCCAACTTTCACCGCTAGATGGACTCCAATTTTTTAGTCCATGTTTTGACCTATTTTTTTATTTTCTATTCTAGCGCTCCGAGGAGGTTCTTGTGGCAATATATAGGTTCTAGGGAGGTCAAAGAACAATTTCGAACCCTCAGAAATACGTAAAATTGCCTAATTTCAGAGAAAATCGAAATTTTAATTTTCCGTAGTTCCGCCGCTCGCCGCTAGATGGCGCCACCTGTACCATTTTGAACCGAATTCTACAAAAATTGATTTTCTGGCTTTATTAGACATCAAAACGTATCAAACCCTAATAGAAATTTGTTCCTAAATGCCTCATGAACCATACTACGTCGTCAATGTGCCGAAATATTGCACTTTGCATGCGCAGTAGAATTGACATAGGCGGCTCATATACGTATCGCAAGCAGTAGAATTGACATAGGCGGCTCATGTTCGTATCGCAATGCTGACACAAAATAATTAATTACTCATTACCCGAACATTATTTATGAACTTTTATGATCGAACCATGTAAATAAAGCATTACTGATCATTCTTTAATCATAAAAGTTCATAGACTGTGCTCAGAAAGTGAGTAATTAGCGATTTCGCACACTCACTATCGTGTATATTCCTCCTGCGCGCCGCCCGCGCATGCCACGGAGGAATAATTACCGAAAAACCATATCCCCGTAGACTTTAATGCAAAATTGAATTTGCTCGCGCTTATGTACTTGACTTTTCAATTTTTTGTCCACGTTTGTCTTTTGCACCACTCAACCAATTCAACCGGATAACATGGTTGACTATTTTTGCTTCAGCGTAAAATTTACTCGCTCGCTCAACATTGTTAGATTAGGCACGGAGCGCCTCAATCAAACAGACCTAGTTAATTTTGTTATATCTGTATCCACTGATCTTCGTCCAGAGTTTCCTAACTTTCTTGTATGAGGTCTCTGGAATTAGTTCAAACTCGAACCATCACTGTCGCATGCGTAGCAAAGAGAAATCTACCAGAATAATACAAAACATTTAAACATAACCTTCAAAGTCCCAATGTTGTTGATGTATATTGTCCTCTATCGGTTTTTGTAAATATACATTACTGAAAGTTTGTTAGATCGTTACACGGTTTATTTCAAATTAAAATGGAAGACATGGATGCAACGAGTGATAAAAGTAACGATAATAGTTTGCATGAAGATGCAGCAAACAAGGAAGAAGAATCAGAATTGATTGAAAATGAAAATGCAGAGAGTGCAGATGAACTGATTGATGATCAGGATGAAGAAGACGAAGAGGAAGAAGATGAAGAGGATGCTGATGAGGCAGAGGTCAAAATTTTGGAAGCTAGTCTTGCCCAAAATCCATATGATTATGCGAGTCACATTTCTCTTATTAATAAATTACAAAGAATGGGTGAACTGGAACGATTACGTGCTGCCAGAGAAAATATGAGTACCAAATATCCTTTGAGTCCTGAACTCTGGTTATCTTGGATGCGCGATGAAATTAAACTCGCTACTACACCAGAACAAAAAGCTGAAGTGGTTAAGTTATGTGAACGAGCTGTTAAAGATTACCTTTGTAAGCATTACTTTCGATAGAATGTTTATATTAATTGGTAATAGGCTATGGTACTATTCAAGTATTATCAATAGCTACTAGGTATTGTATTTTATCAATTTAATAGTTCATACTTGGAAGATTCAACTGTATATGAATATAGCTTGGATAAAGTATTAAATCTAACCCTATTCTCATTTCAGCACTACTTATACAAAAACAAAATTGTTCCTTTTGATTTATATCAAATATTCTAAACGAGTACTTAGGTATTCAGTTATTCGAAATTCATGAGAAAGACTCGTACCATGCTTATTATCTGTCTTAAAAGTATGATTAATTTGTATATAATAAACTTAATTTTATATTATAGCTGTAGAAGTATGGCTTGAGTATCTACAATTTAGTATTGGTAATATGGGCACTGAAAAGGATGCAGCAAGAAATGTTCGGCAGTTATTTGAAAGAGCATTAACAGATGTGGGATTACATACTATCAAAGGTGCGATAATATGGGAAGCATTCAGAGAATTTGAAGCTGTTTTACATGCATTGGTAAGTATCGCAAACATAATTTCTTTTGTAAATTGTATCTTACATTTAAATTTTAAATATTTAGATTGAACCTTCAAATCAAGCTGAAAGAAAGGAGCAATTAGAACGTATTGGGAACTTGTTCAAAAGACAACTAGCTTGTCCTCTTTTAGATATGGAAAAGACATATGAAGAGTATGAAACCTGGCGTCATGGAGATGGTGCGGAAGCCATTGTTGATGATAAAATTGTTGCTGGAGGATATGAACGAGCACTTGCAAAACTAAATGGTCGTTTGCCGTTTGAAGAAAAAATTGCTTCTTCGCAAGCCGAGAATGAACTTTTAGATTCATACAAAGCATACTTACTGTATGAGAAACAAAATGGAGATCCAGGACGAGTAACAGTTTTATATGAAAGAGCAATCAGTGATATTAGTTTAGAAATGTCACTTTGGCTTGATTATCTTACATACTTAGAGGAAAATATCAAAATTGAGTCTGTCTTGGATCAGATATATCGAAGGGCTTCAAGAAATGTTCCATGGTGTGCAAAAGTATGGCAAAAATGGATGAGAGCATATGAGAAATGGGGAAAGCCAACGTTGGAGATTCAAACATTGTTAGAAAATGGTTTAGAGGCTGGATTTTCTATGGCAGACGATTATCGAAATTTATGGATAACGTATTTAGAATATTTGCGCCGCAAAATTGATCGCGATTATGACGAGGAAGAAAAACAGATAGAAATATTGCGTAATACTTTTAATAGAGCTTGTGAACATTTGGCAAAATATTTCGGTTTAGAGGGAGACCCAAATTGTGTTATATTACAGTATTGGGCAAGAACCGAAGCCATACATGCCAATAACATGGAAAAAGCTAGATCACTCTGGGCAGATATTTTGTCACAGGGACATTCCGCAACTGCATCTTACTGGTTAGAATATATTTCTTTAGAAAGGTAATTACTTATGTTATTTTACATTAATTTGCTGTTGCGTTATGTAGATTAATTTATAACTTAAGTTATATTTGCTCTTTTGTGCAGGTGTTATGGAGATACAAAGCATTTAAGAAAGCTATATCAGAAAGCTTTTACTTCAGTAAAAGATTGGCCGGAAAGTATAGCAAATTCTTGGTTAGATTTTGAACGAGATGAAGGTTCACTAGAACAAATGGAATTTTGTGAATCACGAACAAGGGAAAAATTAGATAAAGTAGCAGAAGAGAGACAAAAAGCTCAACAAACTTCTAATCATGAATCATCTCCGTTACAAAACAAGAAAGCTCATAAAAGAAAGACAGACGATACTGGCAAATGGAAGAATTTAAGTAGTTCTCCAGCAAAAATTACAAAAGTCGAAACACACATGAAGCCAAAAGCGAAAGAAGGCAAATTGAATTTGGAGACGAAACTTGATGGTGATACTCAGGAGCAAAAACTGAAAGTTGCCCCACCTCCCGGTTTTAAAATGCCGGAAGATGATAAAATGGAAATAGACCACGCACATGAGGTCGACGACAAAATCACAGTTTTCATAAGTAATTTAGACTATACTGCAACCGAAGAAGAAGTCAGAAATGCTCTAGAACCGGCTGGTCCGATTACACTATTTAAAATGATACGGGATTACAAAGGTCGCAGTAAAGGATACTGTTACGTGCAGCTAAGCAGTGCGGTATGAAACATTTTTTCTTATTTCAAAGTAAAATTATTATACAGTTATACAAATGTATATTGTTTAATTTATACAGGAAGCAGTAGAAAAAGCTTTGCAGTTAGATAGAACACCAATAAGAGGACGACCAATGTTTGTTTCTCGATGTGATCCAAACAGAACACGAGGATCAGGATTCAAATACAGTTGTTCTCTCGAGAAAAACAAACTTTTCGTGAAAGGTAATTGAGTTGTATAAATATAAATTTAAGTAATTATTTTTTTGAATTAAATTAAAAACAGTTATTTTTCTTTATCCAAAATGAATAGGACTTCCGGTAACCACAACGAAAGAAGAACTGGAAGAAATTTTTAAAGTTCATGGAACATTAAAGGAGGTCCGCATAGTTACTTACCGTAATGGACATTCAAAAGGACTGGCTTATGTTGAATATGACGATGAAAATAGTGCCGCAAAGGCTCTTCTAGCAACCGATGGAATGAAAGTCAGCGACAAAGTTATTAGTGTGGCTATAAGTCAACCGCCTGAACGCAAAAAGAATCCAGTGACCGAGGAAACAACTTTGGTTAAATCTTTAGGTGGTACTGCAGTAAGCAGAACTACGTTTGGTATGCCTAAAACATTATTGTCCATGGTACCACGTACTGTTAAAGCCGCTACTTCTAACGGCAGTGCAAATGTGACCGGAAACGGTGTTCCTCAAAAGATGAGTAATCAAGATTTTAGGAATATGTTACTGAATAAAAAATAACTTACTACAAGAGAACTGAATTTTTTAAAACCTTATTTATTTCAAAGCAGAGTTCTCCAAGGTGTATAGCATAAAAATAACAACGTTAAACAAAAATTTCTTACATGTACTTGAAGCACAATCTGTTAGAAAATTCTCTCCATCACATAGTTTCATTCAGTTGCTTGTATATATATTTACAAGATTATTATCATTTAAACTACGATGGATAAGCCAGGAACCACGTGTTTATAAAAAATAAATACGTTTAATGGTAAAACAGTTTATATATACACAGAACGATACGATGTGTACGCGTGTGTAGCAAACGTGAACGCTCTTTATTCTAAAAGTAAACAAAGACTACTTTTGCTGTCATACATACATCACAATGTTACAAGATATTTCTCTCATGTACACAAAACACACGGTGTAGTAAAAAGTCTGAATTGATCTAAAATATTTTAAATAGAAAATTTCACTTTGAGAAAGTCATAACAATAAATCAGGGTGACCTTTTATATATTTTGTTTTTCATAAATAAAAATACACAGTGAAATTGTAGAAAGGTTATTATAAAATTACATAATCTTTTCTTTTTTATGCATTTTGGTCACCCTACGTTAAATACCAAATTTTCGTCTACAGCTGCAATTGTGCATTGGACGTGTTGTGTTTTCTATGTCTGGGTGGAGCGACAGGTGGGCTTTCAGGTGCCAACAATCGCCTCGCCATAAGCCACTTTTTGGCTCTGCCAGCGTGATAGTAATACGAGTAAAGCAATGCCATAGCCGCCAGCACAACCAACAGGCACGTACCAGCGATAACAATACTGAATAACCAATAAGGACCACTCGATTCGGGCACCCAAGTTGGTTCTGTCGGCGTCTTTTCTCCAGGAGCTTTCGCTGGTGTTTCTACCGGTGGTCTTGGCGGCAAAGGTTCTACATCGTCTCCTATCGTGATGTCTGCACAAGCACGAAATTCTTCTTGAGGACCACAACCTACGGCTCCTGAAAAAATATGTTAAATGCAGCAAACGTTATTTAATCAGGATAAGGTTTGACCTTTTATATTCTACAAGCATTACATTCAATTTTCTTGTGAATTTTTATTTACTTTATACTTTTTTATTAGAACTTGTAGAATTCATAAATGTTTCAGGCATTAGGTTATTTGGAACTGTGAGACCTCGAGACTTCAGTACTTTGATATTTTGGAATTTTTGAAGATTGGAACTTCGAGACCTTATTTCAAAATTTGTTGAACATATTAAGACTTTGGGATTTCAGAAAATTTAAGGTGTTGAGAAATCTGGAACTTTGAAACATCAAGATATTAAAATTTTGGTACTATGGAACTTTGGCACTTTGTGTCTGTGAAATTATGGGATCTTGAAAATTTAGGATTTTGAATCATTGAAATTTTTAATTTTTTAAACTTTGGAACATCTCCAGCAAATGGATCGTGAAAAATAACAAATTTTGAAAGCGAATCTCTGGTCATGAAAGTTTGAAAAAACTTGATCTAAGGAAGTACTGCTCAAAATAACAGCAATAAATTTTATTAGCTTAAGGACATTAACAAAGATTGAAAATCGAATTTCATTTAGGTGTTACTAATATAAGATCACTTGAAATTTTTGTTTCTGAAATAATTCAGTATCATCTTTGCTACAATGTAATTTATGTCAAAACGAATTTACATTTTATTTTTTGTGAAATAGCAACAGCCATTTTTAAATATTTATTATAAGAAATACTTTGCAATTATTATAAGCATTTCCAGCATATTGTAAATTAATACTGAATTGTTAAATAATATATTAAAGAAAATTGAAGTTTGAAACATTGTTATTCTTAATTGTTTGTACGCAAGATTAAATAATAATGGCACGATTGATGACTAATGAACGCTATTGAATACTGATAATTACGAAGTAAGCATGCAATAGTTACACAAATTGTGTAATGGTTATTACATACAAAAAGCCGACAAAACTTTCTATCCTTCCGCTAGTAGAATACTAATACCGTTTTATTTTGTTGCACGAATCGTCCTTGGACTAAACACATTTTTTTTTAATGTTGCATGAAATGTTGAGAAATTATGTATTCGAAGTATTTGAAGCGAAATAAATCAATGATGATTTTAAAAGATTATTTTTTTAAAAATGTCGAATTAAGTTAAAAATACAACACGGTAGAAATATCATTTTTCGAGGAAATACAATATGGATTCAAATTCTCTTTTGTATTCAACGGTTAAATTAAAGATGAGAATAGTGCTATCAAAATATACTCAAAGATGTTTATTTGATACTTGATAAGTATAATACGAATGGATATTCGTCAAACATAGTAAATTACGCGATTAGATTTACATCAATATAATAGAATAAGGTGAAGTGGGGTAGTTCGTGAACGGGGCAAATGCGTATACAGGCTATTTTTATTACAATACGAACGAAATTTCTCCATTTAGTATGTTTGTTTCCTTGTTTTGTTTCACTATATCCCCTTTTATATTTCAGCTAAGAGTACTTGTTTGCAGTATAGAGTACTTGCATAATGCAGTATAAAGCATTTTATAGCAGATTTGTTAATAATTCTGCTCTTGCCCCATTGCACTTGAAATAAAGTTTCAAAGTATTTAACTTCAAGTTACGCTCTTACCCCATTTTCGGGGAAAGTGCAGAGTAGTTGACATTTTAAACAATTTCCTATCAAAATCAAAATGTACAAGGAAAATTAAGGTCCAAGTTAATATTAATTAAATGGTAGTAATTGTGTAAAGCGTTCGATATCGACAGCGTTAAGTATTTACAAAGCAGACTGAAAATACTTACGTTTAAATACCAACTTTACAAAAACCAGTCTGCACATACCCCACTTCACCTTAACAAATTTTTTTATAATTTTCAAACTTTTACTATTTCTTTACATGTGCGTAGAAACTTTTTTGTAATTAATAAACTATTAATCTAAAGAGTTAATAATTTGCGTAATAAAACAACTAATAAATTTAGTTATAAATTATTAACGAAAGTAGAAGTAAATTATAAATTATTATAGACTGCATTTTTCAATCGCAATCACATAATTTATTTTGAAAAATTGAGTAATTTTTCCAATGCGCCGGGCAAGAGCAAGTTTCAAGATGGCGTTTAATTTATATTTTTCCCGCGAAACAGTGATGCGAGAATTTGAATTTACAAGCAGTTCAAATTTACGGTTTAAATAAATACATGTTCATTTTTATATATTTTTTATATACCTACATATTTACGATTGTTATTCGCAATTCTGTTAATTATTATATAATATATGTGTAATTAACTTGAAATATTTAATATTATAAGCTATGTGCTCAGTTAATTTTAAGAAAAATATTTTAAACATTTGGTGAAACGTATAGCTTTGTACAGATTTGAATAGTGTTGACTTTCGATATTTTATCTCGAATTTTGTTCGACGAATTAGTGGTACATTTTATAAGTTCGTACGTTATCCTTACACTCTTAAATTTTCAAATTTTCAAATTCCTGTTTTATAGAGTTACAATTTTTTATACTCTTAAACTTTTTTTACTAAATTTTTAATTTTTAATTTTCTATATTTCTATATTTCAAATTTCTAAATTTCTAAATTCTCATATGCTAAAACTTTCAGATTTTCTAATTCTCATATGCCTTTTACAAATTAAAAAATTTTTAAAACCCTGAAATTTTCAAATTTTTCAATTTCTATTTTTCTTCAATTTTCAACCTCGAAATTTCTGAATCTTCAATTTCTCCAATTCCCATATTCTCAAATTTTTAAATCTTCAAATTCCCAAATTGTCGAATTTCCATATTCTCAGCTTCTGAACAGATTAAAAAACGTAAAAAATGAAAAAATCATTGAACGGCGTGTCCTATATCGCCATTTTCCCTGCACGTTCCTGATAAGCGTGTGATCAATCAACTCCAAGTATTTCCAATATCATTTTTCTCATATAAATATTATCATATTAATAACATTTTTCAAATCAGAAATAAATTCAAATCTCCTTCAGAGCAGATTAATTAAACTTTAAATATTAAATGCTTCTATGAATCCTTGAAAGTGAACCAGCACAGTTTTTTTATTCAGCAAACCATGTAATACTCGTCCAACTGCTAACAGCAATCTTCACTTTAACTTATGTTCGCACGGAATAAATCTCTCGCTTTAAAACACCGTCTTTCATCCAACGTTGGCTGAACAAAAGTGGAGTACGCTCGTCCAGAGTTAAATAGCAGAGAAATGCAATATTCAAAGTGCTCAAGTTCGTTTATCTAAAGCTTCCGTTTGAATCTTGCGAACAGTAAGAAACAAGATACAATCCTCGTTTTGATCCCACTAAATCCGCGGAATCAGATTATATTTCAGGTAAAAAGCACTTCAATTACTGGCATGTTAATGAGTTTTAATAGAAAGTTCAAAGTCCACGTTCCTATTATTGCCGTTTGTACTATTCGAGTCCACATCCTGATTAATTATGACCTGAGCAATGCTTATGTCACGATATTTAACTGTTATTATGGCACGATAATATCGGCAATATTTTCTAGAATGGGTTAACAAAAGTATTGTTTGTTTTAATGTTACAAATCAAAGACAATATCTGTGCTAGCAGGTATGTGTATTGACGCAACAGTATGGTACATCAGTATGTAAACTCGTAAGTCATGACGTGTTAGTTGTACGTTTAGCCTAGGAAAAATTGTGAAGGGTGAAGTGAATTATTGAACATGATTTTTTAAGGAAAATTACGATACTAGGTAAAAAAATTCCACCTTCGTACTACATGTGTGGATTATTAAATTTGAAAATTTAGAAACTTTAAAAATCTGCAATTTGTCAACATATGACCAAATTTTCAAGATCTGAAATTCCACAATTTCTAAATTTCTAAGGTTCCAAACTTACAAACTTCCAAATTTCCAAATTACTAAATTACTAAATTACTGAATTAAAAATGTCCAATATTTCGAGTTTCTAAATTTCGAAATTTTCAAGTCCACAAATTCTCAAGTTTTAAAATTTCAAAAATTTCAAATTACTAAATTCCCATATTTTCAAAATTCCAAATTATTAAATTTCTAAATTCTTAAATTTTTAAATTTCCAAATTTCCAAATTTCTAAATTCTTAAATTTCCAAATTCCTAAATTTCCAAATTCTTAAATTCTTAAATTCTTAAATTTCCAAATTTCCAAATTTCCAAATTTCCAAATTTCCAAATTTCTAAATTCCTAAATTCTTAAATTTCCAAATTTCTCAATTACTAAATTTCCCAATGTCTAAATTTCTCAATTTCTAAATTTCTCAATTTCTAAATTTCCAAATTTCTAATTTTCCAAATTTCTAAATTTCCCAATTTCTAAATTTCCAAATTTCTCAATTGCTAAATTTCCCAATTTCTAATTTTCCAAATTTCTAAATTTCTAAATTTCCCAATTTCTCAATTTCTAAATTCCTAAATTCTTAAATTTCTAAATTTCTCAATTACTAAATTTCTCAATTTCTCAATTTCTAAATTTCTAAATTTCTAAATTTCTAAATTTCTAAATTTCTAAATTTCTAAATTTCTAAATTTCTAAATTTCTAAATTTCTAAATTTCTAAATTTCTAAATTTCTAAATTTCTAAATTTCTAAATTTCTAAATTTCTAAATTTCTAAATTTCTAAATTTCTAAATTTCTCAATTTCTAAATTTCCAAATTTCTAATTTTCCAAATTTCTAAATTTCCCAATTTCTAAATTTCCAAATTTCTGAATTTCCCAATTTCTAATTTTCCAAATTTCTAAATTTCCCAATTTCTCAATTTCTAAATTCCTAAATTCTTAAATTTCTAAATTTCTCAATTACTAAATTTCTCAATTTCTAAATTTCCCAATTACTAAATTTCCAAATTTCTCAATTTCTCAATTTCTAAATTTCTAAAATTCTAAATTTCCCAATTTCTAAATTTCCAAATTCCTAAATCT